TTCGGTTGGATGCAGGGACAGGGAGAGCCCCTGGAGACACTGGGGCTTTCTGGGTCCTGGATGGATCCTGCAGATGTTTTCCGTCCTCTCTGGGGTCAGAAAGGTAGATCCCCCCTGCACCACCCTGGTGCATCATGGGCTGTTGGTTGGCACCCAAGGGAGCACCCTGGGGTGCTACCCTGCTTTAGGGACACACTACAGGAAAAGCCATGGATGGCTAGTGGCTTCATGGTGGAAAAGACCACCTGGGCATATGGCCAGGACACCTTGTAGCCAGCCTGGGAGTCCTGGAGCAGATGGAGAGGAAAGCAATGCAGCAGGTACCCCCACTCAGCACAGGCAGTGCCCACCTGAAGGGGGTCATGGGTGACGCATCCTGTCCTGGTGTCCTGCAAGGACATTTGTAGGGTCCCACTATGGGTCTGAAGCACGGAGAGGTGTGGGTGCTGGAGGCTTTCCCTGCAGACACACTGGGACAGCCCCTGCCCTCAACAAGGGAGATGACACAGCTGCTGCATTACCCACATTTTTCCCTTTAAAATATTTGCCTCTGCTCCATTTTTTCCACTACTGGCACACAAACCCCAAACCCAAACAAGGAGCCGTTCAGGTTTCCCAGACAGCAGGAGCACAGGAAGCCCATACATGCAAAGGTCACCCAGCATGCCTGCAACTGTCCCATTGTGTTTTGTGCCCACCTGGCCAAAGCTGCCCACAACATGCTGGAGGCGTTCCTCTCCCATTTGGGATGGGGTGGCTCCTCCAGCACTGGGAATGGAGAGCCCAGTAGGACTCTGGCTCCCACTTGGATGGAGATGGGGACTCCCAGAGGGCCCTCTTTCTGTGCCCCCCCCTTCACAACCCCATTTACAGCCCCCAGCCTCCAGCAGGATGGGGCTTCTGCCCATTCATGCCAGACCTCCCCGTGACCCAGTGCCATATGTGCCCTGGCACAGCAATGCCTGCATGACTCCTTCACCTGGCCCCAGCAGAGCTAACCGTGCCACAGGCACCCACTTGTGGTGCCTGCCATGCTCTTTACAGCCACCTCCCGAGGCTGACAGGTTTCTGGCCCCACTCTCAGTGCAGAGGTGAAGGCGCTTGGCAGGGCCCTGCAGCCCACTAGCTCATGTTGCTGCACCCCAGGAGGTAGAAAAACATTTTTTAGCAGTTAAACAATCCTCAGCTTTGGGGACCTGGGGCTTGGTTTCACTTACTGGGAACAGGGAAAACAAGATGGGAACCTCATGGGCATGAGCTCCCCAGGGCAGGCGGGCATGGCTGTGCCTTTGGTGCCTACCACGCTCTGTTGCAGTGCGAGGACCACCATGGACTGCTGTGGGCCACCACAGACTGCCACGGACCACCACAGACCACCATGGACCACCACAGTCCACCATAGACCATCATGGAACTCTGTGTACTGCCATGGACCACCACAGCCCACCCTGGACTGCCACGGACTACCACGAACTGTCATGGACCACCACAGACCATCATGGAACACCATGGATAGCCATAGACTGCCATGGACAACTACAGACCACCATGGATCACCGTGGAGCACCACAGTTCACCATAGACCATCGTGGGCCTGCGTGGACTGCCGTGGACTGCCACAGACAACCATGGACCACCATAGACTGTCAGGGACCACCACAATCCACCACAGACCATCATGGACCTCTGTGGACTGCCACAGACCATCATGGACCTCTGTGGACTGCCACAGACCTCCATGGACCACGACAGACCACCAGGACCAGGGTGCTGGGCACAGCCCTGTGGAAAGAAAACTTGTCAGCTCCGAGACATGGGGTGCCAAGTGCAGAAAGACTAAAACTCAGCGTGAGATCAGGGAAGGTGAAACGGAGTTACAGAAACCCTAAAGCACGGTGAGCCCCAGCTCCGCGTGCCCCAGGGAGCAGGCTGAGGGAACAGCAACGACACCAAGCCCCGCATGAACCCATGCCCACCTCAGCTCCTCTCCCACCCTGTGCGCTTATGGGGGGATGCCCCGGTCTGACAAGGGATGCAGAGCTGGGGCAGTTGTCCCCCGTGCCCTCCAGCTGCCTGGGTGTCCGAGCGGCAGCGGGCACAGCCGGGTAGCTCGTAGCTGACGTCCCCGATTGTAGGGGTGTATGGTGTACGGTCTACAGGCAGCGGTGACCGGGCCCCCTCTGCTGGCATTGCACACACAAACATGGGGCACCCCGGCACCCACAGCCCCCCCCGGGCACTCCATGCACCCCATCCCGCCTGCAGCGAGTCCCCCCCCAGGCTGCCCCCATGC